GTTGCATGATTTGGCGTTAAGGGGGGGTTATTTAACAAATTTATAGCAAAGGTTAAAACTAAACCTAGCGGGAGTAAAAAAGTGTTCGAATTTACAAATACACCACCCCCAGTGGCACAGCTGTGTGTCTGCGGACTTGTAACGCTAGAATCCGGGTTTCGATGCCAGTGGTGGGCAGAGCACAGATAACCCACTGTGTAGCTTTGTGCTTAATTACAAATAAACATAAACATACAAATATACATCGTTATCGGCGTTTCTAGCGGATTAAAGTCTGTATTTTGCGGGGGTAATTTCCAGTCATTAATGTTCTATTTAATAATTTTATAAGGTGATGTGTTTTCCATTGGATATTGCATAAGATATTTCGTCAGAGCTATTTTTTAATTCTTGTAATGTTAAAATGAAGACCGAATGCTACATAGGATGGTATCTAATTTATTGTAAAACAGTTCCTGATTTATTTCAGAGAAACATTGTATTTTGCGGTCCGAGAATGGTTATTACATATCATAGAGTCGGTAGACTCTACATGTAGGATGGCCAAGATACTCAACAAGCATAATACAACTATTCACGCTAAAAATCAACAATGACAAAGTGCTTTGCTTTAAAAGATGATTGCTACTCACTTTCATTTGTTTCTCTATCCCACAAGCCCCAAAACAAAACAACAAACCATTGCTAAGATACCAAACCAGAAAGTGACCAATCCACCAAACTGTTCACCTTTCTTCTTGTTGTTTCAGTCGTGATAACTCTACAGTTACTTTATCACTAACGTTAGTTTAAACCTAAATCCACTTTATGTATTTTTGGGTAGTGCAATATGTCAACGCTTAGTCGTACTAACCAGTAGTAATCTTTTAATCATAATTCTAGTGTAAACGATGTTATAATTACAGAAAAACGTTGTTCCTTTAAGAAGCTTAAGGTGAAACAGGAATTACCAGCCAATAATAGACGAACATTAGATGACTGTAACATGTAGAATACTCAATGCTTTGTACATTATACAATCGATGTCTTTAGGGAGTCAGCCCCTATATTGTGTATTAAATAAAGGAGTAAAAAAAATCAGCATACATAATATGAAATTTTATTGCACACATTCATAGAATACACTAACTTTAAGTCAGGGGAGAATGTCACAAAAGAAGTAACAAACATTTTTTCGTAAACGTAAAATGATGTAGGGAAGGCACTGTCAAAAATAATACAAACAAGAATATAGGGATGATACAGCTATACGTAGATCATCCCTACGTGACTTTCAATATTAAAATTTAATATTACACTGTAAAATGCATACTTAACTTTAATATTACTGCAGTTAGAAGTTATGTATTCCTGACTATTGGTATTCAGTTTGTCTAGAGCCGAACTTAAGAAAAAGGGGCCCAAGGCAGAGGTTCATTTTAGAGGCCCTTTTTGGTACTTTTATACTTTTCAGATAGTATGCTACTACCCATACGATGTACTTCGCCCAAATTTCAGAGATTTTTTTTCCCAAAGATCTAAATGGGGTAAAAGAAGTAAAACTAAGAACCAGTATACAATGTTATCAAAAATATTAGACTCAAAAACAATGGCATTCATAGACTTGAAAAGTTTTAACTTTTTTATAATTACTATATTTTTATGTTTATGTTTTACCATACCTATTTATATTTATATATATATTTTTAATTTTCTTATAGTTTTATTTTTAACTTCTTGGGGGCCATGGGCAGCTGTCCTGTTTGCTCTGCCTTTAATTCGGCTCTGAGTTTGTCTACCATAATATCATGGTCATACAATGTAGGCATAAATGTAGTGTAACTAAGAGCCTAAGACTTACGCACAAGGAAAATCAAGTTGAATCAAAACATGTCTTGATTATTACAGACTATTACAGACTCTCGCTGCAAGGTCGGTCGAATTGCCCGATCTCGTAATCATTTTATACTCGTGCATTTTACAGTTTAACATTAAATTGTAATATTGAAAGTTATGTATGGATGATCTACGTATAGTTGTATCATCCCTATATTCATGCTTGCATCTATTTTGGCACTGCCATCCCTACATCATTTTACATTTACAAAATGATTTGTATTACTTGTACTGTTTAGAGATAAATGGGGTTATGGTCCCCCAATTGTTTTCATGAACATGGAAGTTTGAAGTTAAAATGAGTAAAGGATGGGGTTACAACTACAATGCCCAAGATATCTTGTGACCCATTAACGTAAATATTGGCGGAAGTATTATCAATAATGATTATCATATTATACCTGTTTATAAGAGGGGGTGGAGTTATGTCATTTTCATTATTTTTCTACTGTTAAAATTTATGATGTATTGAGTTAAGATCGCCTTCTCCCATTACATCTTCCTACGGTGTAGTCGCTGAGAGCTACTGGGTCTGAATTGTTCAGGTCCAGGTAATATGGTACTGCAGCACAAACCTGTTCTAAAAAGACTAGCAGAACTTAATGCTGGTTTCAAGTTATGATGTGGGCTAATTTGTAATTATGTTCTTCCATTGCTGACTTTTCCAGCTGTGTCAATCTAGTTGAGTTCTTATAGTTATTATTTTTTGTTTTAACTTGTTGATGTTTCCTTTAATTTTTATTAGGGTGTTTTGGAGCGTTTTCCACCTTTGAAATAAACTGTTATGTTCAGCTTGTTGCAAAACTTCTTTAGTATCCCACCTAATTTAGGGATGTATAATAAAGACATTTTAGATTTTGTGTTGGCCTAGTTGTTGTAGCTTTGAACTCTTATTTTTCTTGGATGTTAAGAAGAAATGGTAGAGTAATCATTGTTTTTAAAACCTTATTCCATGAAGTGACATTCTTCTTCAGTTTTATCTCCAGTGCATGTTTCTATGGTTCTGTCAAACATTTAACAATAATTCATCATTTAAAAGCCTGTGAATGGTTGGATTTATAATGCAAATACCTGTCTGTGTGTGGGGGGTTCTTTATATACTGTAGCGGTAAGATGGCCATTTTGACTGCAGAGTTCTGTTTTCTCCTACTTCTATTCTTAATTGTATGTTTGGGTACACAAAATTTAGGTGGTGGGCGATCTTATAAAGACCTATTTGTCAATTTGGTCAAATTACAAACCTCTTGGGCTAGTCTTGCCAGCCCAAACAGTGAAATTTGGTCATCATTCTCAGAATTCATACATGACTCCACACTAACAATTTGGCCGACATTTATACATGTATTGTATAACAAGGTACCCTTAGTTTACTTGACTTTTGCTGTTTACGGCACTTTCTCTGTGTATTCAATTTCTTTCCCATATCTGCTTTTTTGAGTTATGCTAGTTGTGAAAGCATTTGATACTAAAGATATTATGTAAGAAACATAAGTGGCATAATATTAAGTGGCGAGCATAAGGGGCATTATTTTAAGTGCTGGTCACAAGGGCATTATCTTTAGGTGCAGGACACAACATCAGCTATTCAATATCTTCTTCATATCTGTGAAGAACTACATCTAACACAGTCAAGTTAAGATATACTGTTGTTTGAAACCGATCCTAATAAATTTGGAAAAAAACTCCTTGATCATGGTATTCTGTATAGTACTATTTTAGATTATCTGTGATACTACTCACTGGTTCATCAATTAAATTAAATGTAGTGATAAACCAGTGTAGAGTGTCAGTGCCACCAACTTTGAAGTCCGATCATGTATGTGTGCACATACATATACTTATAACTCCAAACTATACAGGGTGTATTTTGTATTATTTGGAAGAAAAACATTAATAAAAATGTTGTATATATATATGTGTGTGTTAGCTTGTTTCTTTGTTATTAAACACTGAGCTACACAATGGGCTATCTGTGCTGTGTCAATCACAAATATCGAAACCCAGTTTTTAGCGATATGAGCGGTTAGATTTACCTCTAAGCCACTGAGAGGCATGTATGTGTGTTCGATTGTTGTTTGGGTTCTCTGTTACTTCTTTAAAATAGGCCATCAGACCTTTTTAGTTAGTTTTTCTGCACTTTCATCTATCTGTAGATTATCAAGAGTTTTTCTAAAATTGTGACTTTTTGTATAGTATTAGAACAAGTATTTCTTTTATTCTCACAAGTTGTTTCTTAGATACTGCCCTAGTTAGTTGCCCCAAGGGAGACATAATCAGTATCTTTATTACGCTTTTCTTTTATTAATTTCTTAGCGACCAAAACAAGTTAAAGTTTGGGGGATTTCTAAAGTAAATTCAAGAGACTTTTCCCTTTCTGTAATTTTGACTAGCTAAGCTTTACAACAACTTGCGATTCTTGGGTGTTACATAAGATAAATGAAGCAAACCAACATTGAGAAACTGTCAACTCTGCTCTTCCTTTCCAGTTACGAAAGTTCGTACCCATATAGGTTTCCGGTTTCATAAACAGCCAATCCGAGTCTGAATTATTGTTAACTGTGTATCATGAGGTTCTGTAGAGATGAGTTTTCACGGTACAAAAGTTGCCTGCACCTCAAGCCACTAAAGATAAAGGACTGGTTGTCTTACTGACAGTGGCAAGGGGTGAATGACATACCAGACGAAAGATGCACGTGGCCTCTAGACGCCAGTGTATAGATCCGTGAGTCAAGACTGTAGTGTAAGTTATGACAACGCCCCTAAGCTTCGTGATTACAGATAAAAGTATGTTGATTAGCTACGAAAGAACGCGGGAGAGCATAACAGAAGAGTGATGGGCAGTATGATAAATTATTTTCTATAGGTCATAACGAATTCAGGTAGACTTTCTGTTGAACTGTAATTGACACTTGCAAGAATTGTTCGAGATGGTTTCTTAAGATGCTAGGATATCAACATAATATGTTTCCTCTTGTTATTTTGATTACTTTTCTTATTCCTTTGCTCAGTAGCTTACGTCAAGTTATTTCGGCTGGTTTGGTATGTTTTACTGCTTTACTTATGTGGAATCTTTATGTATTGTTTTAAATATGTATCTCAATATTTTTCTTGTTTCTTTATTTCAGGGTGATTTGCTCCTCATTTTGATTATGATGTACATTTGCTGGCTGTTGTCGATAGTGACAGTTGCTTATAGAAGTGCAGCTTTTCCTCGACCACCTTTATCCACGCGTGATGAGACATCTGCCGCTACCCCGTTGCCTTGGATGAAGAACACTGCTAAACAATTTCCCAAGACTGGCCAGGTTCGAAAGGAGAAGTTAGTCCAACAAGAGTTTAGCACGACTATTCCCATACCTCGTGGCTTAAATTTAAACAGGAAACTACACATTAGTGAGTTTACTAATCAAGATAGCCATAACCCTTTTCTGGACATGTCAGAAGGGACAGTCCCCCCAAGAAATAGGAGCTTTTCAGACTTTGCTATCCAAATAGAAACTACTTTATCAAACCATCAGCTGCCTTTTTATGAAGGAATTCGTCATTTCAATGAACTTGTTGACCAAAAAACAGATAAAAGTAAAGGCTATGATAGATTTCCAATAGATAATTTCGCACTTGATGATCATATTCGATCTACTGGATCTAGCAAGTCACTAGACGGTCCGAAACATGAAGTGGAAAAGCAATTAGACCACTTTTTGACTTTATTTATGCAGCCTCAGGAGGGACACGCAGAGAGGTTCAGGAGAAAATGGCCAAGTATCTTTCAAGAAGAAATGGTTCCAGAACGTTCTATTCGCCCAGTACATAACGCAAGAATGATTGTTTTTCCTGACGAAGTTGAAGAAAAGGATAAATCTACTTCCAAAGTGTTCAGTTTTGAAGATAATATTACTGTTATAAGTAAAGTAAGTCGGACAACTACTGCTACTGCTACTCAAGCCCCACCTCATGACCCTAAAGACAGAAGCACACAACTGGAGGAGTTATCGTCTTTTGAGGATCTTACGACCATTCCCAACGTATCCAAGAGTTCTAAGAAAAATTCAAAAAAAGGACCCGAGAAAAATAAAAATAATATCAGTGGTTCAGACGATGAAAAACTTCATGAGCTCACTATAAGGAACCTCATTATTGGTGCTGTCATATCAGCTGTCGCACTTGTATTCTTCACTACATTTCTAATTGCTTGTAGGTGGAGACAACGTTCGAAACGTATGGTAAAACGAAGCGAAAAATTTATTGATGAAGTTAGCACTAGTGCTTCGAGTAAAGTACGACGTTTTCCCTTTCGGTCGAAGAACAAAACTACTCCTGTATCATCGACATTTCAATAAATTGTACGTTTTGGTTCCAATAATTATTCTCCATAACGCTGGAAAATATTAAACATGTAGTTAAAGTGACCTCCAATGTTGAAATGAGAAAACATCTTGATATTTTTGTAGTCTTCTGGTGAGACAGTGATGTAAAACTTAACAATATAAAACTCAAGTTTTTGGGTTTCGCAAAAAAAACGCATGGTTAATAGTGTTTACAATACTATGTTTTTAGCATTTATTTAGTTCAACTGTTCCTGTTTTTGATTCGTTTGTTTGAAAAAAGATATTTAACCCAGTTAATGGCTAGTGTTCTTACATTGCTATAATGGGAGTGAATGTACAGAGTGTAGACAGCTGGTCTGTAAATTAATGCTGTTTTAATTCCTGGATTTATTCTATATAGCATTTAGAGTTTTTAAGACTGTTGCACTATTAGGAAAAAAAGTGTAACGAACAAGAACAGAAAATGTCATTCGGCTTTCGCGATGAAGTTTCTTCAAAGTCTTCTTACTTTTCCTAACTTTATCAGTTTCAAAATCATGAGTACTACATTTTATCACATTTGGTTGATACTAATTTTCTATATAAGCATAAATTATAGTCAAAAGTTATATTATTATATATACGTATAAATGTGTATGGGTTTATAGTTATGTCATAGCGTTGTATTAAAAACAATTTTTGTAAATGTAATAAATATCAATTTTGTGTGGTATCCCTCTAAATATATAACTTATTGGTATATTATTACCATCTAAACAACATATGTATATCATAAGATACTTCATAAAAACTGCAATAAATAAATAAAATCAGAGCTCTGTATAATTTTAACAAAGCTCTGTATAAAGCTCTGAATAACATCAAGGTTTAAAACTTCTCGTTTTCTGAAGACCAAAAAACTGAATTCTCGATTTTTGTGTTTTACATGAGTTTTATCTTCATTTTCTCAGTATATTTGCAATTATGATTAAGGTTAAAATACGGTATTACTACCTAACCTGTAAGCTGTCGACTTAAAGTAAATAATGAAGTACGTTAAATAATTAAGTCGTATTTTTCATGTACTCTGCTCTTTCAAATAATGAATATTTACAAACAAAAAAAATCAACTTTTAACTTGCCTGTAAATAAAGGTAAAAGAGGTAATATCTAGGTTTTTGTTTTTGGGAAATTTCTATAAAAAAAATTGACTATTATTGAACAATCTTCATTTTTTACATTAATTTCAGTCTACAGAAAATGTATGAGGAAGAAGATTGTAATGTCTTTTCCGTGGTGGGCTGAGCACAGATAGCCCATTGCCTAGCCTTGTGCTTAATTACAAACAAACAAAACTTTTGCTTTAATTAAAAAGAATCGTAATATATGTTGTTCAAATAAAGTATTGTAGATGTATATTAGTTTGGTTGTAGTTAAGCACAAAGCTTCACAAAGGGCTATCTGTGCTCAATCCACCACGGGTACCGAAACCCTATTTCTAGGGTTGTAAGTCCGCAGACATGCCGCTGTGCCACTGGGAGGTATGTGTATATTAGTAAAAACCTTTTCAGTTGTTAACATTTTCTGTAAAACACCTGGCTGTTAATTAACATAACATGTGATTTGCTAGAAAAGGACGTTGCTATTGATAATTTCTAAAGCACTTCACGTCTTCTACTTGTTTTGATTGGTTGAATTAATAAACAACTGTACATATTGCTGTTGGTCTGAAGAACTGGGTTCTAAAGCACTTCACGTCTTCTATTGGTTTTCATTGGTTGAACTAATAAACAACTCTACATATTGCTGTTGGTCTGTAGAACTGGGTTTTAAAGCACTTCACGTCTTCTACTTGTTTTGATTGGTTGAACTAATAAACAACTGTACATATTGCTGTTGGTCTGTAGAACTGGGTTCCAAAGCACTTCACGTCTTCTATTGTTTTGAATGGTTGAATTAATAAACAACTGTACATATTGCTGTTGGTCTGTAGAACTGGGTTCCAAAGCACTTCACGACTTCTACTTGTTTTGAATGGTTGAATTAATAAACAACTGTACATATTGCTGTTGGTCTGTAGAACTGGGTTCTAAAGCACTTCACGTCCTCTACTTGTTTTGAATGGTCGAATTAATAAACAACTCTACATATTGCTGTTGGTCTGAATAACTGGTTCTAAAGTACTCCAAGTATTATACTTGTTCTGAGTGATTGAATTAATACGCAACCATGCACATTGCCCTTGGCAACTGGATTCTAATATCGTTTGTTTTAAATGTTTAACATAACTTTGCATTGACTTATTCTTTATTCAGGGAAAGATTCGTAAAAGATTAAAATAATGTTTTTCTCTTTATTTGTTGGGAGATTTCTGAGACGACTGATGGAATCATGCGTTTGCCGTATCTGACGTTAGTCTGTCTGTAGGTGTCGATACATATTTAGAATTCAGATATGACAAATTATTATATTTCAAAAATGGTTTACTTGTTTCTTTGTCTGTTTCATATGGTATATATCTATATATGTTTCTATAGATACAAATGGACATCTGTAAGTTTCTTTGACTGTTTCATATGGTATATATCTATATATGTGTCTATAGATATAATTGAACATCTGTATGTTTCTTTGTCTGTTTCATATGGTATATATATCTATATATGTTTCTATAGATATGATTGGAAATATGTATGTTTCTTTGTCTGTTTCATATGGTATATATCTATGTATGTTCCTATAGATACGATTAGCCATCTGTATAATTCTTTGTCTGTTTCATATGATATATATCTATATATGTTTCTATAGATATGATTAGCCATCTGTATAATTCTTTGTCTGTTTCATATGATATATATCTATATATGTTTCTATAGATACGATTGGACATCTGTATGTTTCTTTGTCTGTTTCATATGGTATATATATATCTATATATGTTTCTATAGATACGATTGGACATCTGTATGTTTCTTTGTCTGTTTCATATGATACATATCTATATATGTTTCTATAGATATGATTGGGCATCTGTATGTTACTTTGTCTGTTTCATATGATATATATCTATATATGTTTCTATAGATATGATTGGACATCTGTATGTTTCTTTGTCTGTTTCATATGGTATATATATCTATATATGTTTCTATAGATATGATTGGACATCTGTATGT